CTAAGGGAATAGGCAATGAACAGCCACCAAAATTGGCATGAGATGCACAACAAAGAGTGGAAGAAGTGTTTTTAAAATCTTTGAAATATTATGAGAATGAAAAAAACGCCACCTTTTGTGATTTAGGTCTCCGGCGGAAACCTACGGGAGACCTCAGGTCTCAGATTAGCAAACACTTTTTTGTTTCTCATAATTTTGCGTTGCTTACAGCAAACACTTTTTGTGCATCCCTTGACCCAACTTACAGCGCAATAATCAGATCATAGCACTTTTTCCCTTCCTTACTGCCCTAAGTCGTATCACCTTAATGAAGAAACGGTCTTTAAGTATACAGCACTGCAGTGCTTGTTCTCATTTCACGCGTTTACAAAGAAGACTTCATAAATTCTGTATTGCAATCGGAAGCCCCTTACCGGATCTGTATAGAATGCTAGATTAAGAATATGATGTCACACAACGAAACTGTGTAAGTTCACCAAGTGAATGAAAAAGTGAACATGAAAGTGACGAATATATACTAAAAGAATGACGAACACACCTACTAGCAAAGGTTAGTTCAAAATCTTTTTTCAAGTGATACGCAGTGTACAGCTTTCAGTTGTCGATCGGCGGTTCTTGTGGATCCTCTTCACCACAGTCAAATCGGAGTATAGCTTTTTTATTTTTCTCTAAATTATGCATTTGATGAGACAAGTTTTGAAATATATTGATTCATGAAAATCTCTGGGGTGGTAGTAATCCAACCGAAAGTCGGAGTTAACGATAGTCGCTAACTTGCAGTTAAGTTCCAGTTTCATTGAGATGAGAACCTGACTGCGAGTTAGATGCCAGTTATATAAAGAAACCAGTCTGATCGTCCGGCTTACGCCGGACTCTCAGACTTCTGTATACAACCAAATAATCGTACGGTATTATTTGTCTCTCCGCTGTAATGTCAGTGTTAAAGTTGAAATGGTCTTGCGCATCTTAATAAGTTTTTCTTTTTAAGGGTGATTTAAGAAGCACAGCCAATCAGTGTTCATTGAATAAATCAAGAATGGGTTAAGTTTCGTGTAGTTTCAAGAAAACAGCAAACGATTGTAACAGAAGATTTATTATAACCCGCACTTCCCTCATATGCTGTTATTTTTAGAAAATACCACAGAGCACGTGTATGCAATAATTGAACCAAGACTTTAAATATGGAATGCCAAGTTTTACTTTTTGATGAATGACAACCTTCATGTTTAGTATAAAAAGACTTCACTAAATCTTTGAATCAATCCGTGCAGGACCTTTTTTTTCTACTGAAATTCTTTTAATAAGTTATATGAGAAACGATGGGTATACTCAGTACCTTTTAGTCTATTTGGCTTGACATGGAAAGCTCTAACGTCAGACCTCTGCGGCAGGTCTCCGGAGGGCAAGCTGGATTTCGTTTCTTGTTGGAGAAAGCAAAGGAGATATCGTATGGAATCCAGAGAGGAGCCTGCAGTTT